TTCTGCAATTATTGGCAGGAGAAAGGATCATTTAACTAGTAATATTATCTTCTATGAATTGGGATAAAACTTCCTAGGCTTACATGAGTCAAAGGAGTTTGCACACAGCCAAGAAGCAATAATCTATTAACTTCTGGCCACAAGCATGTTGAGATAAATTTTAACAAATTATCTCTAAATTAGGTACAGTAAGTTCTAAAAATATCTGCCACCCCAGTAAAGAACTGATGTATCAAAAATTAACATATACATTAAACAAGTTTTCAATAGGCACAATACTTTTCACACACTAGGCATGTAACAGATACAGTGCCAAGTTCCATACTACCTCATAAGACCTGAGCATCTTTAATCAGCCTTGATTCTATATGTGAAAAGAAAGCTATGAGATTAAAAATATTTATAAATATTGGTACTGCACCTGTGGGCTCTCTAATCTGTTCCCTTACCTATGCAGAAACAGTGGTAGATATAATGAGTCTACATGATTGCAGAGGATTATGATCCACCCCATTCTCCCTCCCCCTGCTCCCACATAAGAAGCCAGTTTTGCAATTATTTGCTCATAGGACCATAAGAGCTGTCACAAAGAAGGTATTAACAAGAATTTTAAATAACCACAGTCAAGTGTTTAAAACTGGCCCTGGGTTTTAGGCAAAGAGTAAAACTGCTTTTGTGTTTTATGAAAATGATTTCTAAGTACTTCTGAGTCTCTTTGACTATGGCCATAGCAAAACAGAAAATGACACGTAATTTCCCTAAAAGCACTGACAATAATATCTTAGAAAAGGTATAGTGGTATATCTGCATATGTGTATGTTACTTAGGAAACAGAATATGTGTAGAAAAGCAGTAACATAGCAGGCCTGAGCCTGCTACCCTTAGAAAGAAATGCTACAAGTTTGGCCCTTGGGAGGTGTCTGGCAACTTAAACAGTACCAGTGCCTTATACCAATATGAAACTTTTCCTAAATGATTAAAGTGGCTCACTGTACCTAGACTGTTGGTACAAACAATATAGTTTATTCTGAACATCTACTTTTGTTCTGGGAGCCGTGATTTTGGCATGAGCAAGGCAGAGGGTGCATATGTGACCAGGCCCCAATAAAAACAGGTACTGAGTATTTAACGAGGATCACTGGTAGATAAAATTTTACACTTGTCACAGTTCGTTGCTGAAGGAATTATGTGTATCCCTTGTGACTGCCTTGGGAGAGGACTCTTGAAAGCTTGTATCTGGTTTCTTCTGGACTTTGCCCTGACTGCCTTTTCCTTTTGCTCATTTCACTTTGTACCCTTTTCTTGTAATAAATCTTAGCCTTGAGTATCACTGTATGCTGAATCTTGTTGAGTCCTGCTAGTGAATCACCAAACTTGAAAATGGTCTTGGGGACCTCTGACATAGAAAGGAATAGTAATTGGGCGATAATCAATTACCCCTCATGTGAATGTTGAATTTCCCTTCAGGAAATATCAACCAATTCTTTGATCATTCAGTATATACTTATGTTTATACTTCTATATTTTGCATAATGTCTTCTTACACATTGTTACTCATTAAGAGTGGAACAATATTTACATTAGATATGTTGAAGCTAAGATTTTTAAAAATCATATAGGTCAAGGACTATAAAGTTATGGTTTCCATAGTAGCTATTACTTTAAGTACCTTAACTGCAAGTATAATTTTTGACTGCAATGTAAACTTTCTATATTTCCATGGGTAATGCAGTCAGATAGAGGTGTTATGGAGACCATAACTGATGCTTGTCATAGAGTACATGACACTGAGGGATGAAATTTAAAGACTATATATAGAAACAGCATATGTATTGCTATGATGAGGCATAGTTAATGCAGGAATCATAAATCTTTTCTGTCGACTATGCATCTGTAGACTCGAACCTTAACATTGCATGAATAATTTGACATTTAAATACCACCTCCTCTGTTTTTTAAAGGCAAAATATGTGTAGGAGAGGATCTAACAAGTTGATTGATCATCTTTCTGTGCACTTAAAAATACCAGCTTGAGTTAAAATATCGTAATAGAGAAAGCATTTTACAATCTATGTTCATATATATATGTATTTCAGTGAATCTATCACTTAATTAATAAATTTAACTTTAACTTTGATAAGCCATTGATACTTACAATCTTCATAATATGACTTCAAAATGGAGGATATAATCAATTTAAGATGCTGTTGCATAAAATAATATGCTTTTAAAATAAAAATAATTCTGAATGAAAAGCATATTCTTAAATGATACGTCATTAAAACCATTAAAATTTCAAATGCAAATACAAGGATCCACAAATATAAGACCAAATTGGATTTTTAACTAACTGTACAATTAAAAAAGTGTAAAAAAAACTAGTTGGTTTCTAATTCGGCTTTTAGCTACTAATCAGGGAGACAATACTTCTGCAATGTGAATAGAAACACATTCTAGTTTGAATCTGAATATTGAAACAGATGACTTATTGGGAAACAGTACAATCTATACTTCACATAATACAGAGTCTAGAGATCATTTAATGGCAATATTCCGCTTTCATGACTTCTACTTTAGATGAGTAAATGAAGAGATAGGAATAATTTTATATCCCATATGGGGTGAGATAATCTGGTACTTTTAGTTAAAAAACAAAAGTACACCAAATATCCTATCATATTTCTAAATAAATGAAGGGGGGAAACAGAATATTGTAGTATAATAAAGTTTTATGTTGCTGTTCTTCTAAGGTGCCTAGGATTTAGACTGCTATGATTTTAGAATATATGCCGATTATCAGGTACAACATTTTAAAGTTTGATATAAAATGAATATATATTCATAAACAGCTGAATATAAATTTTAACCAATGAAGAATGATTGGCAAATTGAGGTCAATGCATAAAGATGAAGACACATTAATTTTAACTAAAGCAATTTTTGTTAATAAATGTATGTTTATTTATGACAATATCTTTGTTAGAAAATTGGATTTCTTTTATGAAGTATAAATAAAAGCCATATAGTAAAGATTCAAGAACTTTATAATTACTGTTAAATTATTTAAAACAATTATTATAATTTTTACACTCTTAGTTTTTATATTAGTAAGATATTCTTCCATTTGTGATTTTAATGTATTTTGGTTCTCTCATCATCCTTCATATGACCTTTAGTCCTCTTCAGAGTCTACACTTCCCAAATTCTTCAAAAATAAATCACTGTTTTGTCTGCTAATTTTTTGCAAAGTTTTGTTTTGTTCATATCAAAAGTTCTGCCGGGGGAAAACAATTACAAAAATAAGAAATCTAAAGCCAGAGATCTACAAATGTGACAAGAACAGTGATATGAATACTTGTTTAAATAAGTACTGCATTCTGCTTTTCTGTATTGCCTTTATCAGTGCACAGCGTTCAACACCTAGCTTAGTTTATTTATCTGTAAGAGGTATTTATTTTTTACCTTTGACATAGTTGGGGTTGTCTGTCTCCTAATTTGTGAATACTAACAATACATAAAACTTTCTGCATACAATGTGGCAAAATACAAGGGGAAATCTTGTGACCCAGTAGACTGCATATGTACTGTAAGAAAGGGAATAATACTGTGTTGAAATGCATATTCTAGGTGATTGGATAGACTAATTCTATTGGCAAGTGTCTTGTTCCTACAGCCCAGCTGTGCAGCATCCATGATTTAAATTTAAGTATTGGCAAAAGAGATAAATTACTACAATACGGACATTCAGGGTACCTTGTGAATAGTTAACACTGGAAATTTTAAGTTGATAGATGCCAATGGTAAGCTTTCACACTAAATGTGGAATTTGAATCTGGCTGAGATACAAAGAAATAGAACCTTTCCTTCCATCTCCTTCCAGATTCTTCAGGTTGATTAGGTTTATCTCTGCCTAAGAAGGTCACAAAATACAACATAAATAAAAAATAAAACAAAAAATTTCAACTATATAACATCTCAGGGTAATATGTTACAAGAATGATGCACTATTTCCTGATCATATTCTAGATGGAACTATGTGGGGGACGGGGGAAGACAAAGACCACTTATAGAAATAGAAAGAAGGGAAAATAAGCAAAATATCCCTTCCCATATATTTTGTCATTAATTTACAGGGAATGTTCAAAAGCCTATTCTTTCATTGCTGCATGGTAGGAGATTCAGGCTCATTTCTATTGAGTCAACTATGGTCTTTTAAAAAGAAAGATCTGCTAAGGCAAGAGCAAATGATTGACCCTAAACAAAATACTCTTGAAAGCAAAATGAGAGAAGTGCAAAAGAAGGAAGATTTATGAAGTAATTTACAAAATGCAAAAAACTGTAACACAGTAAATCTACTCATGTTCAAGAAAAATTAATGTTATTTCCATGCTTGCTAAAAACCAATGACAATGATAATCACAATCTACACGAACAATTCTGTTAAAATCAGTTCTATAAATTTCCATCTTAAAAAGGCTTATTCATTTTATATTCAGTTTTACTTCCAATTTTGTAGTATTAAACATAATTAAAACTAGAAGTCTCTCCTGAAAATGCAAGGGCATATAAAAGAGCCCCTAAAACTTGTCTCCATGAAGACAGACACATGAAATAAAAAACTATTTTTTATTTATTTGAAGGAATATTGAGAATTATGGCTATCATCCTGTTCTTTGTGATAAAAATACTAAATATAGACATTGCTTTGCCATTTTTCTAATTTTTCGATAAAATTGTCATTTTTTTCTTAAGAGACTTAAATGAGTCAATTCTTATGCTAGTAAAAGCAGCAACTATAGATTTTTCTATATTTTTCCCAATGTAGATTCTATGTTTTGATGTAGATTTCTATATTTTTCCCAATGTAGATTCCCAACTATAGATTTTTCTATATTTTTCTCAATAACACTCTGATGACAAAATATGGTTTCAATCCATGAAGCTTAAAATTCATGTACAGTAACAATGAATAAGAGAATAATAAAAAAAATACTACTTACCTTTCCAGAAACAATCTTTTCATAAATCTGAATTGGTTGGTCTGCAAAGAATGGGGGATAGCCAGCTGCCATTTCATAGATTAGCACTCCTAATGCCCACCAATCCACTGCCTTATTGTAGCCCTGAGATAAACCAACACCAATGTCAATTGTTACTTAAGTTACTCAGAAGAGAATGAAATCAAAGGTAATTTCAAAATGACCTGGACGCATATAAAAAATTTTTAAAGTAGCTGCTGAGCAGCTATTCAGGATAGAATTTAAAAATGAACCAACTGTGTCAGGTCAGATTTAAATTAAACAAAAGAGGGAATTTACAGATATTGAAATTGGATATTAGGAAAGATTATTAAATCTTCTTTCTAAGTGATTAAGAATATTACAGATAACGAAATTTTCTTTATTTCACGGGGATAATTTAGTTCTTGCTCAATAACAGGAAGGCAATTAGACCACATTACTTCTTAAGGCCTGTTCTAGGTCCATAATCTTACTAATTAAATTTTCCACAGCATGCCTAGAAAGATCAAACATTTTCAAAGAAAATAATAGAAACTGAACTACATAGTAAATAGTGAAGTTGACTTCAAAATACTCTGTATTTTTGGAGTTAGGAGGGTGAATCTGCTAGGGACAATCCCATCTGTTTCAGAGGATTTTGTGAAAACAAAAAGTTTAATGTAGAATTTAATTAATGTAAATATTTAAGTATACTTTACTTCTGCTATCTACTGTTTTGCTTCCTATCTCTAAAAGGTATGCAGGAAAAAAAATGAATTTATAGGTTTTTGTGAGGACTTTATCATATAAAAGGGAGTAATGTGTATAAAAAGGGCTTTGCAAACCAAAGGTTTGCAAAAATTAAAGGTTATGTTTAATTATTCTTTTTCATATTAATCTTACTAAAATTAAGATCTAGAACTATTTACAAGAAAACAAATAAGAATAACATGTTTATATTAACATGTTAATGTAGTTTATCAACTATGATCAGTATCAACTGGCCCAAGAGATTTTTTAAAAACCCCGACAACCTGGTCATGAAGAGAAATAAACTGAATTCTACACAGATCTATTGTTTTACCCTCAGAAGTACCCTCTATCATTCCACCTTTTTGTCAAAACTGAAGCTTTACAAACTATTTAGTTTTCAAATTTCTAGCAAAAACATAATTCTATAATACTATAGAGATATTCTTTTTCTCTTTTTTCCCTGATTCTGTATATAACTTTCTAAGGGAAGGAGTGGTATAATAGGAATATCACTTTGTTTTCTAACAAAAATAGGCATTAGCTCTCCTTAACTTATTGATTTATATGTTTAACTTGTGTGCTAATGCTTATAGTAAATATGTCAGACACAAGTTAATACTCACGGTATAGAAATCAGAACACAATAAGAAATACGTTAAATTAAAATAGATAAATGGGCAAAGGAGATGAACTAATAATTTACAGACACACAACGAAATACCAAATGACTATTAAGCATTTAAAAAATTAATCGGCCAGGCATAGTGGTTCACACCTGTAATCCCAGCACTTTGGGAGGCCAAGGTGGGCAGATTGTGAGGTCAAAAGATCAAGACCATCCTGGCCAACATGGCGAAACCCTATCTCTACTAAAATACAAAAATTAGCTAGGCATGGTGGCACGCACTTGTAGTCCTAGCTACTTAGGAGGCTGAGGCAGGAGAGTTGCTTGAACCCGAGAGGCGGCGGGTGCAGTGAGCTGAGATTGTGCCACTGCACTCCAGCCTTGTAACAGTGCAAGACTCCATCTCAACAACAAAAAAGCAAAAAACAAAAACAAAAACAAAAACAAAAACAAAAAAACACAAAGAAATAAAAAACTTGAGAATGAAAATAGATACAATTTATTGCCTATTATATCAGTAAATATTTTAAATATGAGTATACCCAGTGATGGTGCTATGAAATAGGCACTCTAATATACTAATGGTAGAAGTATAAAATGGCATAATAATTTTGGAAAGCAATTTGGCAATATTTATAAAAACCTTAAAAATATTCCTAGTCATTGACCCAGTAATTCTGCTTCTGGGAATGTATGCTAAGGAAATAATGTAAAATACAGAAAAAGCTTTATGTATAAAGATGTTTATCATAGTTATTTATAATAATAAAAAACAAAATACAAAAATAAAACCTGAATACTCAACAATAGAAGAGTGACTAAATACTTCATGGTACATTTGTAAACAAGCCATTAGAATGATGTTTCCATGCTTGTTATTATGAAAGTAAAAAAAGTCAGAGATAAGACTATATACATTTACTATGATTTCAACTATGACAATCCAGAAATAAGGCCACACACCTATGACCACCTGATCTTTGACAAGGCTGACAAAAACAAGCAATGGGAAAAAGATTCCCTACTCAATAAATAGTTCTGGGATAACTGGCTAGCCATATGCAGAAGACTGAAGCTGGACCCCTTCCTTATACAATATACAAAATCAACTCAAGATGGATTAAAGACTTAAATACAAAACCCCAAAGTATAAAAACCTTTGAAGACAACCTAGGCAATGCCATCCCGAACACAGGAATAGGTACAGGAATAGATACAGATTTCATGACAAAGGCACCAAAAGCAATTCCAACAAAAGCAAACACTGTCAAGTGGGATCTAATTAAACTGAAGAGCTTATGCACAGCAAAAAAACTATCAACAGTAAACAGACAACCTACAGAATGGGAGAAAATATTTGGTAACTATGCATCTGCCAAAGGTCTAATATCCAGCATCCATAAGGAACTTAATCAAATTTTACAAAAAACAACCCCATGAAAAGGTGGGCAAAGGACATTAACTGATACTTTCTGAAAGAAGACATACATGTGGCCAACAAGGATATGAAGAAATGCTCAATATCACTGATCATTAGAGAAATGCAAGTCAAAACTGCAGTAAGATACCATTCCACACCAGTCAGAATGGCTATTACTAAAAAGTCAAAAAATAACAAATGCTGGCAAAGCTGCAGAGAAAAGTGAACAATTATACACTGTTGGTAGAAGTGTAAATTAGTTCAACCATTGTGGAAAGCAGTATGGAGATTCCTAAAATGAGCTAAAAGCAGAACTACCATTTGACTCAGCAATCCCACTACTGGGCATATACCCAGAGGATTATAAATCATTCCATTATAAAGACAAATGTACTTGTTTATTCATTGTGGCACTCCTCACAATAGCAAAGACATGGAATCAACCTACATGTTCATCAATTGTGGACTAGATCAAGAAAATACGGTACATATACACTATAGCAGGCATCCCCAAACTATGGCCCGCGGGCCGCATGCGGCCCCCTGAGGCCATTTATCTGGCCCCCTGCTGCACTTCAGGAAGGGGCACCTCTTTCATTGGTGGTCAGTGAGAGGAGCACAGTATGTGGCGGCCCTCCAACGGTCTGAGGGACAGTGAACTGGCCCCCTGTGTAAAAAGTTTCGGGATGCCTGCACTATGGAATACTATGCAGCTATAAAAAGGAATAAGATCATGTCTTTTGCACGAACATGGATGGAGCTGGAGGCTGTCATCCACAGCAAACTAAAGCAAGAACAGAAAACCAGATACCACATTTTCACTTATAAGTGGGAGCTAAATGATGAGAATTTATGAACACAAAGAAGGAAATAACAGACACTGGGTTCTATTTGAGGGTGGGGGTAGGGAGGAGGAAGAGGAAAAGAAAAGATAACTATGGTACTGGACTTAATTCCTGAGTGATGAAATAATCTGTACAATAAACCCCCATGACATGAGTCTACCTATGTAACAAACCTTCATATGCATCCCTGAACCTAAAATATAAGCTAATATATATATATATATACTCTTATATATTATCATATATAATATATTATCATATATATGTGTGTGGATATGTGTGTGTATATATGTATATATACACATATAAATAAATATTTTTTAAAAGGTTGCCTCTAGGTTGGTGGGATTACATATAGTTTTTTTTGGTTGTTTCTTTGTGTTTTTCTGTATTTTCTAAATTTGTAAAATGAGTATTATTTTTACAATATATACACATTTATAAAAGTATTAGTGCTCATTTTAATGTCACATTATTCGTTAACTGTATTTAAAGAAGAAATGTGTTAACTGCAATGACATTTGGACTATAAAAGATCAAGAAGTTATACCTTATTTGAATCATAAAAGATGATGAGAGAGAAGTTGAAAGAAATCTTTTATTTTAACACTTCTATAGATTAGTCATATTTCACTGATTCCATTTGGAAACTACTGAAGCATGTGTTTTATCCCTTTCCTTTTCCTCTCTCCTATTTGTGCCTGGTTATTGTTAGGTTCTCCTTTCTAGATTTCTCCACGAAGAGATGGTAGAGGAAAAGTTAAACCATTCTTTCAGATATAAGTACAGTTTCTCTCACCATATTTCACTATTTAGAAAAGTAGAGCTGCCTTCAATAAGACTAAAACTATTAAATGGCTGTTAATAGTCCTATTTAAGATTTAAAAACACTTCTCATACATTCCTTTTATTTAAATGGTAAATTTGAAACAAATAAAGAATGGACAGCTAGTACATATCATCTCTAGATTTACCTCTTGGTGTAATCCAGAGCAAGTCTTCTCTACCCTCCCGTTACTAGGAATAATTAAGAAAAGACTATGTTTTGGTTGCAAAACATGGATCTAGAGGTCACATTTATTCATATTATTTCTCTAAGACGCAGAGTTAAAATTGACAGAGGTTATAGGATTAGCAGTAGATGCTAAATAATTATTCTTTAGTAATCATGCACAAATAGATTTAAATTCATAACTTAGATCAAATTAAAAATGTAAAATTAGATCAACAAACTCTTTTTACATAAGTTCATAAGAATGCATGCCTCATATTTCTACTTCTTATATATTGATATGAATATACCTTGCTGAGAATTATTTCTGGAGCCAAATACTCTGGAGTTCCACATAATGTCCAAGTTCTGCCTTTAACTCTTTTGGCAAACCCAAAGTCTGTGACCTATAAAAGAAAAGAAAATACTAGTGAAAATGTATTGCCTCACAATAAATATATTTATTGAGCCTAAACTGAAAGTTTAAAATTCAAATTGAAACCATGAAAGAAATGGAAAAACAAATTAAGTCCATGTAATTGAGATTCATTCATGAATATTTAGTGAATGAAGGTTTGAATAACCAAAGTTGGAAATCCTTTGGTTAAAGGATTTCCTCAAAGAAAAGGAACAAATGAATAACAAAGAAAAGGAACAAATGAATAACAAAACACTTTTCAGACATTGTCATAAGTTCCTAGACCCAAGAAATAAAAAAGTGAAAAAAAAGGTAAAAATAAATAGCATTAATAAAAATGAAACAATGCTAAAAGTTTGCCTTACCCCAATGTGCCCTTTGCCATTAATTGTAGCATCAGAAGTTCAAAAATGTCAATGGGAGAATCTATCAACAATTGTGTAAAAAGAAATGTTCCCACTTTGTTAATAGTAGAAGTGGAAAGAAAATATTGATACCAGTTCAGTATTGGTAGTCAGGGATCCTTTGGCAGTTACACTGCAGTCGTAAAGCACATGGACTCTGGGATCAGACTGCCTAGGTTCAAATTTTGACTCTACCATTTATGAGCTAAATGACCTTGCTATGCTTAGTTTTTTTTTTTTTCTTTTCTTTTCTTTTTGAGATGGAGTTTTACTCTTGCTGCTCAGGCTGGAGTGCAATGGTGTGATCTTGGCTCATTGCAACCTCTGCCTCCCAGGTTCAAGTGATTCTCTGCCTCAGCCTCCTGAGTAGCTGAGATTACAGGCATGCACCACCATGTCCAGTTAATTTTGTCTTTTTTGTAGAGACAGGGTTTTATTATATTGGTCAGGCTGGTCTGGAACTCCCTACCTCAGGTGATCCGCCCACCTTGGCCTCCCAAAGTGCTGGGATTACAGGTGTGAGTCACTGCACCCAGCCAGTTTTGTTAATTTTAAAATGAAGATAGCAATGGTATTTCTACTTCATAGGTTTATTAGGATTGAAGAAATAATACATGTAAAACACTTGAAATATGCCTGGTACTAATAAGTGCTAACAGATTTAGCTATTAATATCTCCTTATGCAAGAGCCTATACTAAGTTCACAATTACAGATTAAAGGAGATATAAACAGGTTCCTTTCATAATAGGATTTTTGCTTCTCTGTCACAGCAGTGAAACTCTGAGCTCTACTTAAACTATTAGGAATAAGTAAATGTCTCCTTCATAAAAAAGGACCAAGTTGGGATTACATACATACAATGTCTTCCTTAGTATTTTCTCAAATACACTATACATAATGTATTTAAGTCATACCTGGATATAGCCTTGATGGTCAATTAAGAGATTTTCAGGTTTTAGATCTCTGTAGATGAGGTCTAGTGAATGGAGGTACTCGAATGTTAGTACTATCTGAGCTGCATAGAACCGTGCGTGGGGTTCACTGCAAAGAACAAAAACATTGATTTTCTGTAAAAATGAGTTAATACATTCTAATTAGATTATACATAAAAATTAACATAAAGTATGGGAACAAAAAGTATTTTTTAAAAAATGTATATAAAGAATCTTGTTAGTTTCCAAATATTTTGAAAATCTCTATATTGTGTTCAAATAAAGCTCTGGCAAATTTATAGGGAAGAATAAGTTGAGGGAAAATATAAACTTAAAATATTATCTTCTTATAAATCATTATTGCCTATATTTGAATATATTGATGTCTTTCTAATTATGTCATATCTTAAGAATGATTTGAAAGCAAATGTGACAACTGGATTGTCTATCAGCGCCATTGCTTTTGTTAACAGGCTCCATCTACTTTTCTCACAAATTTCAAGTGTTTATAGAATTCCCTACATAGAATCTCTTTAGCTGAATTTATCTGCAGATTAATGTCACTTTACTAGTCTTGTAATAATTCCTGTTACAAAAATGACATACATTCATAAGGGAAAATATCATAAAATATTGTTAAAGAATAATGAATACTTCTAATACCATTCAGAGACCATATAGATATAATTCTGGCAGGAGAATTTCCAAATCTTCTACTCTGCATGTTTACATAGATATACAGACATAGGTATAATCTCCGTTAGTGTAAATATGTACAGTTCTTTTATGTATATATTAGATTGATAGATCAGTGTAATTTTGATGTCATAATCTGAAAAATCCAAAAAGATGTACCAATTTTCTAATTTAATATCTTCTAATGTATTAACTGAATTCTAGTAAACTGCCTGAAATTTGCTTGTCACTACATTTCCCAAGAGCTCAGTAAATATTTGTTGAAAGAATGAGTATGTAAAGAAAACTGCTTTTGGGGATCAAAATTTTATAATACCTTTCCAGTTTCAGCTTCATCCAACACTATCAATCTACATTGTATGCCAAATGACAAGGAATGAGGAGAACATTGTAAGCAGAGATTAAAAGAATCATTCTGGTCATTGCAACATTTATGCTTAAACTGGGAAACATTTGACCTGAGAGGTCCCCTCTTATTTCCTTTATGCATCTGTAAACATGTCATTAGTATTATTGCTGTTTACTTATAAAATATTAATTTCCAAATCCTGGTGTTTAATTGGAGGAATACATACATTACATAGATCTATAATAAAATTCTTTTTTTTTTCTTGCTCTGTTGCAGGGCTGGAGTGCTGTGGCATGATCACTGCAGCCTCAAACTACTGGGCTCATGCAATCTTCCCACCTCAGTCTACCGAGGTGCTGGGACTACAGTTGCACACCACCATGCCTAGCTATTTTTTTGTATTTTTTTGTAGTGGGAAGGCACAGGTTTTCCACGTTGCTCAGGTTGGTTTTGAACTCCTGAGTTCAAGTGATCCACCCACCTGAGCCTCCCAAAGTGCTGTGATTACAGGCTTATATGAGCCTATGTGCTCAGTCTACAATCAAATTCTTGAAAGGTGAAAGTAAATATTCCAAGTGCAAACTGTTACTGGATATTTCCATTTGATGTTTAATTAAATGTAGGAAGACAATAGTAAGGGCTAATGCTGTGGTAGTTTTAAGTCTAGACAGCTTTAAGTAGAGAATTATAAAGACTCCTTTGATTCTGATTAAAGCCATGCAAAACAATAACTTATATTCCTATTGCCTCAAAACTTCTAAGATGGATATTATCAATCATTCAAGTGTATATGTAGTATTTGTGAAAGATGAGAAAAGACAAGTGTCTCAGTGTGAATTCCTTCAATCAACTTGCTGTTTAAGTACCAAGTCAAGTATTAAAAAGTCAATTTCAAAGAGTAGTAAGACTGTGGGGAGTTGCAAAGAAAAGAAGTTAACAATTATAGAAAGTTAACAAAAACCTTTTTGAGAAGAGGTTGAGGTGTAGTACTTTAGTGAAAACTTTAAATAATAACAGGGCAATATGAGGATTCAGCTTGAACAATGGGCAGTAGGACAGAGAGGACAACAGGAGGGGAAAGAAAATTCTCAAAGATAAGTAGAAACTACTTTAGTTTGCACAGTGCCTGACACTATTAATTATATTAGTTGCCCTGTACATTTTAAGTCAATAAATGAATCTTGGCTTAGGCTTTAGGTCATTAGGATAACTAATGTTTGGTCATTGCTTGATATCATCTTGTGATATTCTGAGTCTGCCATCATCATTTTATGAATCAAATTACCATCATCAGTCATGTTTTAGCTCATACTTGTGTTTTAATTATGCCAATATTTAATTGTGAAAGTTGATTATACAAATTGAGTCATTTTTGTCATACCCAATTAAATCAGAATTGAAGGGCCAGGGCAATAAAGCACTCAGAGCACATGGCACCTGCTCCAAGAATTAAATTTTCCACACACCTAGCAGCTAAAGCTTCCTGCTGTAACCCGAAGCCAGTTTTATCTAATACCTACTAAAACAACCTGCTGTGACTCTAAGATTAGTTTGAGCCACCGCCATCACTCACCAGTCACAGCTTGCCAGCTCCCCAAAATTTTGCTAGTGCCAAAGAACTTTGTTCCAAAACAAATGTAAAATTTCTCCTTTTTATAAACCTCCAACCTTCTTTTTGTTTTTCAGTCACACCAAAGACCACCTGGTCTGTGTGTATGCCTTGCATTGCAATCTCTGCTTCCCAAGTAAAATATTGAATCTAGAGATTCATCTCTCTCTCTATTTTTTTGACTTTGATTTAGTTGGTGTCAGAAGTGGGATCCTACTTCAGGGAGAATCTCTGGCCCTGGGAACTACAGCATGAAGTACCCACATTGGGACCCTTTCAGTTCCGCTGCTTCTGAGGTGGGGGGATCACCTGTTTTCCACTTGATGAGTCTCTTTTGGACTAAACTCCTAATTTTGGTTGAGTTCTCTTTTATTTGGGATTTGGTTGGGAAAGGGTCTTTCTCATTCCCCTTCCTGTCTGAGAGGAGTCTTTTGCCTCCTGGCTGACTGATCTCCTGTTGGGGAGGATTATTTTCCCCCTGTTAACTTCAGCTGCAAAGCTTAGACCTCAGTTTTGATGTTTAGTTGAGGGTACTCTTCCTTTCATTTGGAGACTTATTGTTCTTTCTGGTAAGGACATACTTTATTTTCTGTTGGCACTTATGTTTATTTGGCCTTGTGTATTCAGCACTTGTGTTTAATTGGCTTTTGTGTATTTGGCATTAAACTGAATCACCTAAATACATTTAGTTAAAAATAGGCTCTCAAAGTTTAAAGGCATGCCAGGATATTTTCTGGGACTCCAGCTGGTAAAGTGTTCAAACATTATAGGAATTATTCAAACAGTCTGTTGTTCTTACAACAAAACTAAAAGATCATGGTCATAAAATCATATACTCTAAATAAGACTCATATCTCAACTGATATCTTAAGGCTAACAAAAATTTCAGGACTCAGAGATTGCCTTGCTACAAAATACTGTCTCAAAGCTAGCTAAGACAATATCCTCTCTGAAGCTTTTCCCTCCACTTTTACAATTCCTCTTCTTTATCCTAATCTAGACTAAACTCTCTTTTCCTATTTTGGCATACTGACTATTTAAGTAAAAACATTGGAAAGTCATCAGATATAAAAGAAAATCATTTTGATTTTCATGTTGTTTTGTTTTTAAGATAAAATTCCAATGTAAAGGACACTGTCTCTATACTAAAAGAAATGGCAACAATCTTATCTTCAGAGACAAAGAACTGAGACAAGAAAATATTGTACAGACTTTGTTAGAATAACTCCTATTATTTGGGTCTCCTCACATAATTTATTCACATTTTCACAGTTAATAATTCTTTGTCTAATCCAGTATATTGCTAACTGGCTCAAAGCCCTCTACCTATAATTTAGTTCACAGACTTCATAATATTACCTATTTAAAAAAAGCTTAGTAAGTTTAGCCTTATCCCATTTTGTTAGAAAAACAACAATTTGGATCTAACTCTCTTTTTATAAACTGGCTGGTTTATTGTTTTACTACCTCATGAATTCTAAAAAAGAAGCTGTAAGATTTTTACTTATAAATTTGTGTAGGTGTTTAGATGTTTTTATGCATATGTACATATATTATGTTGTATGTTGTGTCTATATAATAAAATCTGACATAGTTGTCTAGAAATCCCTTAAGGAATTCTATTTGGATAAATGCATACTAATATAAAATATTTTAGTTCACATGACTTAAGTACATCCTAGATAAATTAATTGGTTTTAAAATTATTTATTTTTTAAAATTTTTGTTTTTGATTCAGAGGGTACATGTGCAGGTTTGTTACATGGGCATATTGCATGATCCTGAGGTTTGGGGTATGAATGTTACTATCACCCAGGTAGTGAGCATAACACCCACTGGGTAATTTTTCGGCCGATGTTTTCCTCCCTTCTTCTCCTCTGCAGTAGTTCCCAGTGTCTACTGTTTCCATCTTAATGTCCACGTACATTCAATGTTTAGCTCTCGCTTAAAAGTGAGAACATGAAGTATTTGGATTTTTGTTCCTGTGTTAATTTACTTAGGATAATGACCTCCAGAAGCTTCCATGTTGCTGCAAAGGACATGATTTCATTTTTTTTTTTTTTTTATGGATGTGTGCTATTCCATGGTGTATATATTCCACTTAACTTGAAGGCAGCTGCAGAGAAATGTCAGGTCACTTACAAAGGGAACTCCATCAGGTCCATCAGCAATGGACCTCTCAGCTTAAACCTTATAATCCAGAAGAGACTGGGGCTTATTGTCAGCATCCTCTAAGAAAAGAAATTCCACCCAAGAACTTAATATCCCACCAAATTAAGCTTCTTAAGTGAAGGAGAAGTAAAATTTTTCTCAGACAAGGGAACACTAAGATAATTCATTACCACCAGATCAGCCTTACAAGTGGTCCTTAAGGGAGTCCTAAACATAGACATGAAAGGTACCATAAAAACACACTTAAGATCATAGCCCACAGACAATATAAAGCAATTACGAAAACAAATCTACAAAGCAATCAGCTGGTGACATAATGACAGGATCAAAATCTCACATATCACTACAAATCCTGAATGTAAATGGCCTAAATGACCCACTTAAAAGGCAAAGAGAGGCAAGCTGGATAAAAAGAAAAGTCCCAACTGTCTGCTATCTTCAAGAGACCCATATCACCTGTAAAGACACTCATAAGCTCAAAATAAGGGATGAAGAAAGAACTACCATGGAAATGGAAAACAAAAAAGAACAGGAGTCACTATTCTTACATAAAATAAAAAAGACCTTAAATGATCAGGAAAGACAAAGAAGGGCATTACATAAAGATAAAGGGTCCAGTTCAACAAGACTTAACTATACGAACTAAACAATTATTAATAAAACAAAATCAGAAATGTTTTCAAAATTGTCAACTTAGATTTTTGTCTGGATTTCCTGGTCAGAGAGTTTGATGTTTGCCTCTTGATAAATTTCTTAAAATCATGAAGCTATAAACCATGTTAAAACAAAATGATCTTTGTTTATGCAATTATTTGATACATAGGATTAATTGAATCTTATTGATTTAATAAACATCTGTATCTTCTGAGTTGTTGACAGACTATTCATGTATCTAACTTTAAGTTCTTATTTGGGTAAACATTTGATATTAACAGTGTACACTCATACCCTGCACACATTCATCCTGTGTCTGATTAAATTCAAGTACTCAATTAACTTTCAGGTGATTGGTAATTTTTTTTAATGGAAAGCTCTAAATGAGAAAAAGAAATAAGAAAAAATGAACATACTGCAGAAAATTTTTCTGTACCATTTTGGTAATCTGCCTAAAAAGCTTGATTTTATATTTTATCAAGATAACATCCTATGTTGTCTTCATCAGGTTTTTCATTTAAATGACTATTATTTTACAGTGACCGGTTATTCTGTTTTGACCAAGTGTTTTGACTCTGTTAAGATCTTTAACAAACTCCACAAAAATCAAATCCTAACTTAAGTGTTCTTGATCTAGAATTAGCTTTGGGATTTTCCATATGTGGCCCTTGAAAAACATCCGAAGACACAGATCTCATCTTGTAGATATATTAAATAATCAGATTTGTTTGGTAAATTATATAAAAGACATTGTATAAATGATGTGATATTACATGTTTTAGTTGCATTTACGGATATGTTGTTCATCTGAATGTTTTAAAAATTATATAAATTCATATAAATTAATGTTTTTCATAATTCTGGTTATTGTCTTAAAATGCTAGATATAATAGAAATAACTTGTTTATTTGTTCATTGTAAACTTTCATCAGATTTTTGCCCATGGCTATTCTATATTTTTGTCATCCAGAGCTATTATTTTGAATTCCCAGAATCATTTATAATCAGATGTGTGGAAAAGATCCCAACAAGTACTCTTAAATACAGGTTTCTAATAACTTTAAGATTAATTGACTAAATAAAAATTTCCAAAATGCTAATAAAAAATGATGAGTAAATGAAAATACTAATCAAGATCAAGCAAAACAAAAATTACTTACATAAAATTAAGTAATTGATAAAAATAATGTTTTCATAACTTTCATTTAAAACATCATTAGTTCTTTACTTAAATATTTTGGTTTCCAGATTTTAAAAAATTATCTCTTAAGCTATTTATAATTTGTAGCAATTTGGCAAAGTATATATTTGTAAAAAAAAAAGATAAAAGCATTTCCTTTTTTTCTCCTTATTATTCAAAAATTAGTTGTAAGTACTTTTATGGGAATACGATGATTTGCATTAAGTCCAGTAAAAATCTGTTCTCTGCTTACAGCAGAATACAATTGAAAACACTGATTATATTTCCAAGGTTCTTACCAACCTGTTGCATTTTAAAAGTACATAAAATGCCTAATTCAAGGGTTTCTCAGCATTACTATGAGTAAATAAAAACTTACTTCCTGGCAGGACCAGGAATCTAAGGATTGTAAATAAAATCTAAAGACTGCCTTAGTTTGGCTTCTTTGCCTCAAGAAGTTTTTAAATCTAAGATTCCCCCGGGTGCGGTGGCTCAAGCCTGTAATCCCAGCACTTTGGGAGGCCGAGGTGGGTGGATCACGAGGTCAAGAGATCGAGACCATCCTGGTCAACATGGTGAAACCCCGTCTCTACTAAAAATACAAAAAATTAGTGGGGCATGGTGGCGCGTGCCTGTAATCCCAGCTACTCAGGAGGCTGAGGCAGGAGAATTGCCTGAACCCAGGAGGCGGAGGTTGCGGTGAGCCGAGATCGCGCCATTGCACTCCAGCCTAGGTAACAAGAGCGAAACTCCGTCTCAAAAAAAAAAAAAAAAAAAAAATCTAAGATTCCTATGTAATCAATGTAGAGAAAAAAGTTGTTTCTAAAGAATAACTATAATACAGCTGTTATTAGACTGTAAGTCTATACTTTGTTTTTGAGTATTGTTATCCACCTACAGACTAGACAAGGTCCTAAATTCTTCTAGGTTCCTCCAATCAAACTTTCTTCCATAAAATTTCTAAAATGAGAACCGCTCTGTTCCTCAAGTCCTGTAAGCTGAAACTATGTAAATTTTAAGAAACAAATCTCATGTCTGATGTATGGCCACACAGAAAGTTCATCAAACTGTCCAAAGCCATAGTCAGAGACATTTAAACTGTAAACAAGGCCAAGAAAGTTAATGTTTTCCATGGTGTAAACAGCTTTTCTCAAGACATTGGAACAATACTCCATATTGTAATGAAACTCTTACCCCTCTTAATACCTCCCTTTTTCACTTAACTGAATAATACTGTAATTAAAAATTCCCAGTCAGTTACTGCTATAGGTACTGGTGAGACCTGTTATGGCCATGGACAAAACCTGACTTAAGAAATTCTTTCAGTTCATCTAGTCCACAACATCGACAATATCTTTAACACAATTTTTAGTTTAATTTGTCCTGGTGGTCCCTCTTGCAAAGTTAGGCATTCTCTGCTTTAGTTCAACCCAGTCATAAAATGTTAGTCAATGCCAACAGGAGGTCTCACTGGTTTCCCCTGGTCCTTTAATTTGTTTAGTTTTTTGCCCTTAGGCCTGGGCTTTAGTTGAAAAGCACTGCACAAATAAATTTTACTATATTGTTAATTTTTTTCCTATCATTTGTAAGCTTTGTTCTTAGTGCCTATCTAATCTTTGTAAAGTCCCAACAGAATAATGTTAGCCCAGCACTTAAAGATGACTGCTAATACCTATGGAAGTGATAAGAGGGAACTCGATGCTGGATTCCAGACAAACACCTACTTTGAGAAAAATTTACCTTCTGGCCTCTTGGTTACTTGAATGTGACCTACTTCCGTGACAGAGACGGCCCCTCTCCCCATACCTTCTCTCATATATGGGACAGAAACAACTAGAATAAGTCCATCCTGGCACCAACAAACAATTAAGCCTAACTTCAAGGTGGTTGATCAGCAATGCTTTCAGAGATTTTGATTGAAAGAGAAAAATATGAAAGCTGATTCTCATCATAAGCAACTAAATCAGAGTCAAGGGGCCAGGGAAATAAAGCACTCAGGACACACAGCACCTGTCCCCTGCTCCAAGAATTAAGGCCAAGTATGGGAGCTTACACCAGTAATCCCAGTACTATGGGAGGCCCAGGAGGGTGGGTCACTTGAGGTCAGGAATTCGAGACCAGCCTGGCCAACATGGTGAAACCTAGTTTCTGCCAAAAATACAAAAATCAGCTGGGTACGGTGGCAGGCACCTCTAGTGCCAGCTACTTGGGAGGCTGAGGCAGGAAAATCACTGGAACCCAGGAGGCAGTGGTTGTAGTACGCTGAAATGGCACCACTGCACTCCAGCCTGGCAAACAGAGGAAGACTCAGTCTCAGAAAAAAATAAATAAATAAATAAAAATAAAATAAATTTTCTATAAGCCTAGCTGCTGAAACTGCCTGTTGTAAGTTGAAACCAGTTTTCTCTAACAGCTACTGAGACAACCTACTGCAACTCAGACTAGTTTGATCTACCACCATCACTCACCAATCACAGCTTGCCAGCTCCCAAAACTTGACTAGTCCTAGTAAACTTTGTTTCAAAACAAATAAACGTAAAATTTCTCCTTTTTATAAAACTTCCAACCTTCTCTTTATTTTCTAGACACATTGAAGACCACCTGGTCTGTGTATATGCCTCAAACTGCAACTTTTGCTTCTTCAATAAAATGTTGAATTTAGAGATATGTCTCTACATTTTACTTTGACTTAACATACTAAACAGAATGAAGCTGTATCTGTTTTTTACTTTAGCTTTATTTTATTAGTGATTATTAATGAACAGTAGAAGCTTATAAACTATTGCACACAGGTAAAACGATCAGATTCTATAAACTATTTTAATAACTGTGAGGTCTTATTAGTCATAAACTGATGAGGTATAAACTACTCTTAAATTATGCATATATTATCAAAACTAAACTTAGCAAGAACTTAAAGGAGAATTAAATTTATGAAAAACAAACTTTAATAGTTTTATTACCATAATACCATTATTATTTCTCTGTATATTTATTTTCCATCTTCATCCTTAACACAATCTTCTGTCCCAGAGTTATATTATTAATGTTTGTTTAATAAATATTGATATTTTCAAATTCAATTAATTTTTGCATTTTCTGAAAAATCTTCAAATAGTGGACCCTCATAAAACCTACCAATAGTATAACATTTAAATTGCCTTCCAAGTTCTTTTATTTGAATTTTAAAACTTGTGTATGATGTGGCCTCTTTGTTTCCACCTAACAACACTTCATATGGCTAAAATATTAATCAAACAAAATAAATTTTTGGCATTGGCATTAACTTAAAAATTTGGTTAAACAACACAAGCATATGAGATTTGAAGAACGCAAAAGCATTAGTTACCTGAACCTTCCAATTCTTCTTAGATGTGAAAACATTTCACCCCCAGGGACATATTCCATAACCATGTATAAATTAGAATTATCCTATGAAAAAATAAAAAGGAAATAAAATTTTTAAACTTAGGTAAAAATTTTTTAAATCATATCATATTGAATTAGAAAAAGAAAAATTTAATATCCTCTGACAGATTAATAATCTTGAGAAATAAAGAATCAATGAAATATGCTCTAGCTTTTCTATATAGAGACACTCATGTTTTTCCCCTCCTAGTTATTTTTGTCACAAATTAGTCTGGGACTTTTGCTCTTCCTTTTCTTGCAGAGACCATCTAGTTCTCAAACAATTAAACACTCAGGCAATAAAATAGTGCTATAATATATGCAAATAAATAACAAAGTGAAAAAACAATTTGAAAAAGTTAATAGAATATTTACATTTTATGTATAATTCAAGAATATTTACATTTTAATATCTTAAATACATAGGTTTTCATTTAATCTAAAGAATAAAGGGGAAAAAAGATTAAAATGTTTCATATGATTCAATATTGCAGACAGATGCCAGTATTATTCCAAAGAGCTGAAAAGTGGCCAATTTACATAATAAATCTTGTACAATTTTTCAGACACTTCAATAGTGAAACAAAAATTATTCTGCTTTGTATAAGTGAAAAGACTAGAACTCAAATTACTAAGTAAAAGAAGATGAGCCAGGTGTGGTGGCTCACCCCCTGTAATCCCAGCACTTTGGGAGGCTGAGGTGGGCAGATCACGAGGTCAAGAGATCAAGACCATCCTGGCCAACACAGTGAAACCCCGTCTCTACTAAAATATAAAAAATTAGCTGGGCGTGGTGGCACATGTCTGTAATCCCAGATACTTGGGAGGCGAGGCAGGAGAATTGCTTGAACCCGGGAGGCGGAGGTTGCAGTGAGCGGAGATCGCGCCACTGCACTCCAGCCTGGCACCTGGCGACAAAACGAGACTCTGTCTCAAAAAAAAAAAAAAGAAGATGGTGAGACAGTGGCAAAAAGGGTTAAATAAAAGAAGATGGGTGTATTAATTTGTGTTAAGTATAAGAATTGTTTAATAAGATATCCCTACGGTTTTTGATAAATTGAAATATTTCATTTTATAATAGCAACTCATGAAGAATTGCATATATCACCTTGAACAATTTCTCCAAAGAAAATCAAAACCTTTTCAAATGTTAGCTGAGTTTATAAGCACAATAGGATTTAATTACATAAACTCTAAAGATATTTGTTTTGTTTAATTATATTCTCTAGGCTTATCTGGTTTAGAATCCTATTTATAGCTTCACATTAAAAAATCAGGTTGAAAATATCTTATTTAGATATTACTAAAATTTACCTTAAAAGCATACTCCAGTCGAACAAGGAAAGGAAAATTCACTGCCTGTAATATTCTTTTCTCATTCAAAGTATGCTCTATTTGCTTCAGTTTAACGACCTGTAATTGAGAGATAAATATTTTTAATGTGTTTAAGCAAAATTAAAACATTATATTATCAAGTAATGAACTTGGATAAGCAAAGCTGTTAGAATTGGATAAGGAAGATAACAACAATTACCAAAAATTATATTGGTGCATAATTGATTACGGTTTTTGCCATTACTTTTAATAATAGTATTCAAATAAAAACCTAATAGAGGATTTAAAACTTGGTCTTATGAAGGTCAACTACAGCTTTAATTAAGAAGTGAGAGCTAAGTAGGAATAAGAAACAGACCCATAAGAAATTACTTAAAAGTTAGTTACGTCAATTAAACTTAAATAAACAAATATATAATTACGTAAAGTAAATTAAAAATTAATGTAAAAATACTAAGGTCCTAATGACTTAAAGTCCTCTATAAAAGCTGGTCCAAATCTCTGCAATAACTAGACACTGATTTCAAATACTTCAGAAGATCAGTAAGAAAATCATGAACGAAGAGAAAGTCCATAATTAAAAAATAGTGAGTAAAAATGAACAATCTTCACTGTATAATGTGTAAATAAATATAGGTATAAATTCTAAAAATTTAATTTATACTGCCATAGAAGAGGACACACAAAATATTGGGGGGAAAAACTATCTTCTTAACAAAAACTATCTTTTTTTTTTTTTTTTTTTTTTTGAGACGGAGTTTCGCTCGTTACCCAGGCTGGAGTGCAATGGCGCAATCTCGGCTCACCGCAACCTCCGCCTCCTGGGTTCAGGCAATTCTCCTGCCTCAGCCTCCTGAGTAGTTGGGATTACAGGCATGTATCACCATGCCCAGCTAATGTTTTGTATTTTTAGTAGAGACGGGGTTTCACCATGTTGACCAGGATGGTCTTGATCTCTTGACCTCGTGATCCACCCGTCTCGGCCTCCCAAAGCGCTGGGATTACAGGCTTGAGCCACCACACCTGGCCACAAAAACTATCTTTGTATCCTCAGTCATTTAGACTTAAGCTTGCTCCGGATTTTCTACCCAATAGAAGGGGTAAGTAATTTACGTTGGCTTCATGAAGATTGTAATTCTATTCCATATGTGATACTATTGTGAATTTAAGAATAGGTGACCTTAGCAAGACATATAAATAATTTTCTTGTATATGTGTAAATCATTAGAAGGTGGCATTCCTTCTTGCTAGAGTCTGTCAATGCGAAAATAGTCACAGAAGTCAAGAAGTTAAATAAATATGAGTAAGAAAAGTAATTAAAGACACCAGACAGGTATTGATATATAAAATTAGGAGTATACCAATAATATTGAGCAAAGAAACTGAGTAGGAGCCAGATCTGTGGGTTTTTGTTTTTTCTTTCAGATCTGTGTTTTAATCTAGGCCTTCTATTTAACTAACTATCTGACTCTGGAGATTATTTCAACTCTCTGGGCTTCAGGTTTTCAAAATCTGTAACATGAAGTGGTTAGGTCACTACTGTATACATTTTAACTAGTTACATAACAAATTAGTCCATAGTTGTCACAATAAATTACAGCTGTCCATCAGTATCCCTGGGGGTTGGATCCAGGACCTATGGCAGAAACCAAAATGCCAAAGTACTCAAGTCACTTATATAAAATGACAGAGGCTTTGCATAAAACTTATGCATATTCTCCATATACTTTAATTATAATACCTAATATGTTGTAAATGCTATGTATACAGTTGTTATACTGTACTGTTTAAGAAATAAGAAAAAGAAGTCTGTACATGTTAAGTATAGATGTAATTTTTTCCCCAAATATCCCCAATCTGTGATTGGTTAAATCCATGGATGCAGAACCAATGGATATGGAAGGGCTGACTGTATAATAACTATGAATCATATAGTTACAATAAATAAGGATAAAAAGTAAATGTAATAATAAAATTATTTCAAGGTGTCAATAGTAAGTCATTATACTGAATCTGTTTAATAGTCTAGCTGATAAAACTAAAGTTTACCCTAAAGGTAAATAACAACAAATATACTAACCTTCTGCTTATCTAAGATCTTCATGGCATAATACTGTTCAGTGGCTTTGTGTTTTACTAACATGACTCTTCCAAATGAACCTGTTCCAAGGGTTTTTTTCCTTTCAAAATCTTCAAGTCCAGCATTATTCTACATATAAATACACAAATAAAATTAAAACTTCTCATAAAAACACTATGAGAATTATAAATGCTTCAATAATACATAATCATAATGGATGATTCAATTTATAACTATCCATTTAAAAGCAATACAAAAGGCTATTGAGATTCCAGGTTATTGGTTCTATTTTTCCCTTTGAACAAGAAAGGATTTAATATCTGAGGAGAGAATGTATTGCAAAACAGAACATAATAGTAATAGAAGGAAATAAGAGCCTCAGCTGAAACATTAAAGATTACATGCCAGTACGCATTCCTAGTACTGAACTTTTAATCTTAGGACTGAACTTCTAATAAATCGGTTTTGTATTTTAATAATTACAAACTGACTAGAGGCATACTGATGGTCATAGAAGCAATACAGACTTAATGCATTTGCAAATAACTGTAATGAATAGATAAACTAAGGAATCAGAGCCCTTTCACTAAAGTTACCTATGAAGAAATCCATCTTGCTTCATTTCTGTCTTATATAAGCTTGTAGAACTAGATAACAGCAGCATGAGAGAGCCTCGTGGCTTTCTCTCTGTATGCTGTAATGACACAGTATTATCTAAAACAGTAGCAATAAGGAAAGAAGCGTTCCTCATTCTACAAAGAACCAAGAGGCGGAATCCCAGAACAATAATCAAACTCTTTTTTTTCTTGAATAGATGTTTTGTTATAAGGAAACATCTTTGTTTGGCTTTGACCACCGAAAAGAAGCAAATAATTGGATACATCAATCTATTAAAATTTGTTCTTGCCACAACAAAATGAAAATTATTAGAACAATTTATGTGTTAAACAGCAACAAGCAGTAATTGCTGACCCATTTGTTTAATAGGTTTTCAATGCAAAGAACTCCATGAAAATATCGGAAAAATATTTTGAAGGCCCAGTATGCAGTGTTTAGCTTGAGAAAAATGTGATGCAGTATGATTCTTCATCCAATGAGGAATCTGAATAGGTACTGGAGTTCACTGTAGTTGGATTGTATCTGTATTGCAAATCAAATGTTGCCTTTTGAGACCCATTTTAGCTTCCTGTTGGATCATTACGGAGAGCAAGCAATTCTGTTTTACTTATAACTTGTTTTCATTATATTTTGATTTCACAATTTAAAATTTGAAGTAATTTTTAGTTATGAGATTTTTTTATCAATGCAAACACTCATAATTCTGATTGAATTAATTTATCTTTAATTTTAGGTTTTATCAACATAGATGGATTAAAATCTTACCATAGTTCCAACTAAATAATTAAAACAAATTTTATTAATAGGCAACAGAACATGCATTTTTGCTCTTTATGGTTTTTTCATTGCTTTTCTTTGTATTATAAAAATATGTTATCTTCCTTACTTCTCTTACAGTTTCATGTTACACAATGTCTACATTTTGTAATCACAATGTTTAATCTTTGTGACTATGTTTTAACTTATAGGTCATACTCTAAATCTTGGTAGTAATGGCATCTTTAAATAACATTTACTTAGAATTCTTCAGTGCGAAAATACTTGAAATATAAACTTTTGAGCTAGAAAGAAGACTTTAAAATTTAATTTACTATTAAAATTTATTCATTATTTATAACTCTAAAAGATTATTTTTATAAAGTATAGATGGCTCTGTTTATAAACAGTTTTTAGATCCTAGTTAGGATCTAAAAATACTTAAATTATATAGGACATACCCCAACAAAATGATAAAAAAGATGCCTGTGTACCAGGAATGTTGTTGACAGCCAAATTCTCTATGATTGAGAATTTTAAACTGTACAAAAGGACTCTTATTTTTGTATTTAATAAAAATATTAAAATTGTATAGCAATTGGAATTAGTATCAAAATTTATAATTAGGTATTGTACTGGAAATTAGTTCCTTCTGCAATTTAGATATACATTAAGATTATGAATACATCAAAATATAACTGGCAAAAGTCCCATTTTAAGCTTCTGTTTACTAAGAAAATTAAAATTTCTGAAGTAATAAATTTCTTAGGCAAGAATCATGATTTTTATTAACAAGAGATCTTTAAATTGTAGAAAAGTCTAAATATTCCTTACCGGAGTTGGATTCTCCCATTTTTTCAAAAAGTCTTCTTTGGCTTTGGCTAGAAACTCTTTCACTGAAAATATACATATAAAAACAAATTTGTCTTGTAAGAATATTTAATTATGTATAAGAATATTTATATTACATGTTTTCTTGCTTAAGAAAACAGTCATGTCATCTATTGTGATAAAATGTATATTTATCACCATGATACATCAGAGAGCTATTTAGTATCTCTAAAAACTTTCTCAAATCTCTAAGAATCTCTAACATTGTTCTGTAAGGAAATCACTTTGATAATTTCAAATGTCATAACAAAAATTCTATTCCTGAAAACATACCAGAAAGTAATGTAAGAAACTCAGAAATTAATCTAGGACAAAATAGGGATTGTAAAAAGGTCATCAGTGATACTAACAGAGCCTTTAGATACAAGAACTGAAAACATCTGGAGAACATTAACATTTGTGGAATTTTAAAAATAATTGATTTTTATAAAGAACTGTTTTCAGGTGTAAGGATTTATGTTATTTATTAGATTTTTTTTTTTTTTTTTTTTTTTTTTTTTTACTAAGGGTAAAGGGAAAAAATAAAAGCACAGACTAACACATAAAGGACACCAACAAAGACGTAAAAACAGAACAAAACATCACCAACAAAAAATCCAGGTTAACAATTTCATTCTAAATTTGCAGCATAAACTAAATGTCTGAATACCCAATTTAAAATGTACACTAAAGTAAAGCAATTCAAAACCAAATGTTTATATATTGATACCCATTAGGGGTATCAAATATACATATTATTTTATAGAGCTATGATTTGAAGTTTTTAATTTGTAAATTAAATGAACCAGTTAAAAGTTTCCACCTTTTCAAAAGCTATTTTAGAAAACAATATCAGATGTTTAAAAATAAATAGAAAAAATATTCCAAAGAGATAAAAAGGCATTAACGAAATGTATTGTTGTTCACATCCTTGGGTAAAAGAATAAAACTTGACTATACTAGCAAAGGGCTCACAAATTCTTTAATGTTCCCAATGATACAGTAGTATTAAAGTGAGATAGGTACCTATTCTAAAGTATATTTTATTTTTCCTTCTTTATAAATGTCATACCAATGTGATAGCTTTGGCAAAACACTGTTGCTAACCAAAACGGCTTTTGGCATTTTAAATGTTTTGAGATTTCAAAATGATGATGACAGGCACCAAAAGCAGGCATTAGTTTTTAAGTAACAGGAGTATGAATCTCTGAAGACATTATTTTATTACATTGTATAAACTATTCTTTGTGTTTTCTTGTAAAATACTCTCAGAATGCCTATTTTAGAAAATTGAGAAAAAGAATTTTTAAACTTAGAACTTTCCCGTTGTAGGAAAATCGCATGTACTAAAACAATGAATCAAAGAATTTCACCTAATCATCCAAATATAATCTAATTCTTCTTGAGGGGTGGATTAAGGAGGGCAAATTCTTACATTTTCTCTTTTCTTTTTATTACTTCTTTTTAAGACTGGGTCTTGCTCTGTCACTCAGGCTCCAATGCAATGGCATGATCACAGTCCATTAGAGCCTCACACTACTAGGCTCAAGTAATCCCCCTGCCTGAGCCTCCTAAATAGCTGGGACTACAGATGTGCACCACCATATCTGGCTATTTATCTTATTTTTTATAGAGATAGGGTCTCACTGTGTTGACCAGGCTAGTCTTGAAATTTTGACCTCAAGTGATCCTTCTGCCTCAGCCTCCCAAAGTGCTAGGATTACAGGTGTGAGCCACTGTGCTGGCCAAATTGTTGTTTTCTTGGAATTAAGGATGGTTCGAGTCATTCTTACTTCTAAAAATTAATGTACTAGTTACAACTGAAAAAGAGTGATTTCATATGTAAGATTTTATTTTTTCCCATGGAGCAGATACATCTGCACATGGCATTCACTTGGACATGATGGCTATAAATTAAATTAAAAACATAATTTATTGCAACATGCACTGTGGCATTTAAAAAAAACAACTTGTGATTCCCAAAATACACCTCTTGTTTCTTGTGAAAAATATTTTTAGTTATCTTTATTTATAGAACTTGCACATCAAGTTGCAATATAAACTCTCCAGATGCCTACATGATTAAAAATAATTTAGAGACAAAGAAGAGAGTCAGGGAAGGTAAAAAAACACCCTTAACATCCTGTTTCAGCTTTGCCTGTCACCTTATGCTAAGTGGATCTGGAGTTAAGAAAAAAGTAACTGATCAAAGGATGGAGTGGTAGTATTTGTCAAAGATGGTAAGTTGAAAAAAAATTCCTTTTCCCTCCTTGGTGATAAGCTAAAAGAAAAATTTCAGGTATTATTTAACTTTATTCACTAATAGAATATGCGAGAAATTCTTTAAAATATTCTCTGTACTTATCAATATTCCTGAGTTTACTCTCAAATACTAAAGAAAGTAAATAAAAGTTTTCATAAAGGTCTTATGTGACAATTATCAGAAATGGGTATTAATCAAATATATTAAATTTTACAAATTACATCAACATATAAAGCGATTTCCTTATTAAAGGATGGGCACTAAGTATGATGTTGTTAGTAGTTCCATGAGGAAAACCTGTCCTTGAAACATATTTTTGTCATATAAAAAATCTACACATGAAATTTCCAGTTTATATGTGTACTATGTAGATGCAAAGATGAACATAGTTAATTCTTTGTAAAAACATGTTAACCAAAATATACATCTTTTAATAACAAATCTACCAAAAATAAATATTTCACAATATACTGGATTATGTGTAACCCTAAAACAATAGGCAATCTAGAACCACATGTATTTGCTTTGAATTTTATTACATTTAGATACTGGTGTATGTAACTTCTAAATGCCTTTCTCTTATCTAGCTATTTAAAAAATTTGTATCCACTGAAATAAAGCATTTGCAGATAATAAAATAAGATGTGAGAGAGACAGTCAGATTCAAATACTGCTTCACATTCAACCCAGAATTCCCTAAAAGCATATGCTTTCAAGTTCTCAATTTTTTGCTTTACTTATTGTGTTCTAATATATAAGCCATATCTACATTTAACCACTTAAACTATTGTGATGGTTTTGGAGCTTGGCATATCTGAGTTACAATATTAGCTCTAATACTTCCTAGCTGTGTGAGGATAGGTACCTAAATCCAAAGCATCTAACAGTGATTAATAACTCTTCATAAGGAAAAAATACTTCAAATAATTTTTCTGCAATACATTTTATTCTGTATTGGTCAGTATCTGAGAAAACTAGGTACTACTAAAAAGAGGACACATACAAAAAATAATTTATTTCTGGAAGTATACATTTTCAAATATATATTTTTTCTGTTTGTATCATTTAAAGAGTCTATTGCATTGCATTCTAAAGGTAATGAGCATACCAACGGAATCTATATGTTCACCAAAGATTTTTTTGCAGGAACATATTCGCCCACATTCATGAGATGAAAAAAAAGAGAGACAATTTTTATCCATTTATACAAGCATATAAAAGCACAACTTAGTTCTTATTCTCACCTCAAATTTTTAATGTATTTATACCTAGAACATAGTTTAAAAATCAGATGTCAAAGTTTATTTTAAACATTAGGAAAACTGACCTGAAAATGAGGGCACAGCATAACTTCATCCCATATAATTTAGATACTTCTACTATGACAAGAATGTTTCACTATTAACATTTAACAAATGTATTTATTAAATATGTTTGGGTGCTGTGTAAGATAAACTAGGTTACTGCTTATAAAAGAGTATATTGTTATAGTATGCCATTATCCGAGTCTTGAAAGAGTATCATTCATATTTCGTATTTAGAGTTTATAAATCTACTTTAAGATTCACAAACAGATTACAACTCTAAATGTTGAGTTCTCCAGTTTCTTTTTAATAAGACAAATTTCACCTTCTTCTTTTACACGGCTCTAACTTTTATTCAATTTATATAAGAAAAATAGAAAAGGAACAAACCGACAATAGAAAAAAACAAAATAAAAACCTTCCAGGGTAAATACACAGTTAAAATATTCACTGTTTCATGCAAAGTTTACAACAGTATAAATGTATTTTCAAAAACTACTCATTAACCTGGGTAATCTAATTTCAGTGGTATATATTAATCTTTCTTATACTGGCTTGTACAACTTCTACTGTTTCATGATGCTATAGTTATTCTTTCTAAAGTATTACACAAGAAATTGCAATATAAATCATTTATATAGGTAAAACCCAACAAAACTAAACAAACCATGTCCTTCATCAATGAAAATATTTTATCAACTCGATATAATTAATAAAAATATAACTTTATAAGGAAAGTAAAAACTTGCAAACAATAAATAAAAAATTTTAAAGGTAATATTTGTTTTATTAAAAAGTAATTGCCTACCAGATATTTCTGAAGAGGAGCAAGCTTGATCCAAAAAATAAATTAGACAATGATTAAATTATATGAATAAAAATAACATATTAGCATGAAGTCACCAATACACATTTTTTTTCAGAATACTATATACAGATATAAAATGTTAATGTAGAAATTCAATTATTTGACTGCATTATTCAAATAAGTTATCTTAAAATTAAACAGTAAAGAAGTAAAATCAGTAACTGCTCTTTAGTGTCAAAATCAATACCCTTCTTATTTTCCTTAAAACAAAAACTAACAAAAACTTTAAGTTCTTATAACAATAGTCTTCATAATAATATTAAGAAGTAAATATTGAAATACATATCCTGTAACTATTGCAATACCATCTCTGAAGTTATGTTGTTCAGTCAAAATCTACTGCAGGAAAGACACTATTAATTAAAAATCTTGGTTTCTTCCCAAAAGACTAGTATTTTTCAGTCATTCTACTTCCTCAGTGCTGATTTAACAATATTTTCAACAATATTTATTGAGCACCATTTAGTGGTGTCAGATTCTGAGCCAGACTCTGAATACTACAAAGAGTAAGTGTATCACCACTGTTAAGAAAATGAGGAGCTTACATGAATCATCATAATGGAATAGGACAAAGGCAACAACAAAAGGCAA